AAATTTGGCTCAATTAATTAAATCAATTATTTTTTTAGTGACTTGTCACTTAACTAACGGGGTACCAACCGATAAAAATTACGACAATTACGCCACAATTAATTAATTAAAGGCACACAATTGTACTACACGAAATGTAAATAAGTAATTGGGGCCCTACAAATGCCAAAATTTGGTTCATTGAATTAAAACCAATTTTTTTTTTGGTGACTTTGTCTAGGGTGAAACTTGTCACAATTACGCTTGATTTTATTAATTAAAGGCCCATAACGTAATACAATTAGGGGCCGAATTTGTTTGGTTCGATTAAATAAAATTAATTTTAGGGTGTTTAAACGGGCTACCAACCCATGAAAACCACCAGTGTCATCCACAATTACGCTCCAATGAATTATATAAGGACACACAGTATATTAGTGGTTGCAACTAAAAGTCATTGCGCCCCCACAAGCCCCAAAATTAGGTCCAATTAATTAAATCATTCCTTTCTAGTGATTTTCGTCTAGGGTGAAATGTGTCATGTGTCATTTACTTGTCATCGCTGTAATGGATGAATCGACGTGTCCGAAATGAAATTAAATTAACCAATTTGTAAATAAAATCGCCCTTATTTAATTAATGTACAAATAGGTACGTATCCGGTGCATCTTTTGTCAATTCCCTACCAAGTTTCAAGTCTGGTGTTAAAGTGCCCCCATTTTCAGGAAACGCCGACTATGGAGGAAGAGTTACTGAATACAGGGGCGCGGAAAGGCGCCGTTTCGCAAGCATTGACCCGTCTCGGACAGGTAAAACATTTTCCTCCTCAAATTTTTGTTTTTTTTGGTGTTGTAAAAGTGCCAGTGCTTTTGTTGAGTCATGTTCTGGGTGTGCAGATTTACCAAAGTACGTTGGATAGATGGACGCCGCACACGCGATGTCGGTGGTTGGGAACACTGGCGCTTCTCTTGGGTTTCGGCCTTCGTATTGTCACAAAACAGGTACTTACCATGGTTGTTGTTGTTCTAGTGGTACCAAGGAGTGGTGGACAGGACAGTACCATGGCAAAAAACCCGATGGTTCTCTGCCTTTCTGCTCATCCTAGGTTTTATGGCACGAGTGCTTTACGCACAGGTATTTTTTTATTTATTTCTAGAAATATTTCGCTATGTTGTCATATCATGGGTTTGGGGACCATTCTGCCTTCTCCACCACCTCCAGAAATAATAATAAAACAAAAATCACAAAATCGAGCCACCTGTGGCTGCTCTTTTATTCTCCAGACTTCTTGATTGTCAAAAAATACGAGTACATCACAGGCGGCTTAGTGTTTTTAGTATTTGTTTACACAGTTGGCAGAAAATAATGTTTTTTTTTCTAGGGTTGGTATATCGTAACGTATGCCTTGGGTATATACCACTTAAATCTCTTCATTGCATTTTTAACACCCAAGATCGATCCAGCGATGGATTTTGATGGTAATTAATTTTTTTATTATACAGGGTGTTTCCGTAATATGCGAAAAATTGCAACCACATACAGGATGAACCAAGCGGTTTTAGTTTTAATCATTTGCCTCCAGAAAATAATAATTAATATAAATTAAAGTAATATAAAAGTATTTTCAGAACAAAATTTTGTTTTGTTTTTGAATCAAAATTGCATTTTATGTGAAAAAAGCAAGTATTTGTAATCCTTAGAGTATCGCTTTTATGAGAAAAATGATTTTATAGTGGGTTGCCATTTAAAAAAATATTTTTTTTTGTAGAACTCAAAACCAAAAGGAAATTTCGAAAAATTTTATTCTTGTTAAATCATCACATTTTTATAGTACTTTATCACTCATCAATTAGTTTTTTCAAAAAATAAATAGTTTACGCAAAAAACGTTTGGTTCCCTACTTTTTATTCACCTGGTATATCAGATTATAGTACAAGGTTGATGTTTATTATACAAATACAAATTGATCACCCTGTATCTCTGTAATGAAGCTTGATAGGCAAATTTAAGTAGAATATGTGTTTGCAATTTTTGCAATATTAAGAAAACACCCTGTATTTTTGTTTAGCTGAAGAAAACGGCCCCGAATTGCCGACACGTGCGAACGAGGAGTTTCGACCGTTTATTCGAAGATTACCAGAATTTAAATTTTGGTATTCTGTCACGAAAAGTACTCTTATAGGTCTTGTTTGTACGTTCTTTGAGTTTTGTAATATACCAGTATTCTGGCCGATTTTAGTAATGTATTTCATTACTCTGTTCTGTATCACTATGAAGAGACAGATTAAGGTATGTTTGATGAAAGTGGTTGCACGAGTTACATATTTATTTTTTTAGCACATGATTAAATATAGATATTTGCCTTTTACACACGGAAAACCAAAGTATCAAGGACATGAAGAACCGTCAGGGAAGGTTATAATTTCACCGAAATGACGCGAATGGACTGTACATTTAGTGTAAATGAAAATTTTTTTCTCAGTATTGAAGTGGTTTTGATTTTTTTCAGTCAAAAGTGTCATTTTTTATAATAAATTGTTTGGTCATGTGGAATATAACTAGGTTACTCATTCAAACGTTGAAATGTAAAATTTGTACATACGTTATGTTTTTATCGTACAATAAATCACATATAACACACTTGTCTTTGATTTAAACCGGCCATCCACACTTTTTATATCTGTGGTTTTGATCTAGAATTGATAACTCAATGGGATCAAACGTCACTTGTCAAAACGTGTCAAACTTAAAAAGTGGGGTTAGAAATCACAATTTTTCTCACAGAAACACGCTTTTGACACTAGAAAATCACAAAATGAGTGACTGTGATGAGCCAAACCTGAAGCGGGCCTCAAATTTTGATGTCACAGCGAAAAAAATCCCCCCAGATGGGGCCCCCCCACAACTCTTCAACGGCGTCGAAATCTCCCAATTGACCAAACGCCAAATGAAGAAATACCAAAAGTGCCTCAAATGGCAACAAGTCAAGAAGGAAAAACGCGCCAAAGAACGCCTAAAAACCAAGGAAAAGCGCCTCCAAGCCAAACTAAACAACGTCGATTTGGGGCCCAGTCGCAAGCAACTGAAACGCATGAAAATGAAAGACAGCCCGTGCAAAACCACCGTTTGCATCGACTTGAGTTTCGACGACTTAATGATCGATAAAGTGACCAAAACCGTTTTTTGTATTTTCAAATCAGAATTTTTTTTCAGGACATGGCGAAAACCGTCAAACAAATCCTGCGAATTTACACTGAAAATAGACGCGCGCGCGCCCCCATGCAACTCTATCTGACCAGTTTCGACGGCCGGAGCAAAACCGAGATGGAAAAACACCACGGTTTTGAGAACTGGGACATCAATTTTTGCCCCGAGGACTATTTAGACATTTTCCCCAAGGAAAAACTCGTTTATTTGAGCAGCGAAAGCGACAGAGTCGTCACTGAGCTGCAACAAGACAAGGTCTACATCATAGGGGGGCTAGTAGACCACAATTTCCACAAGGTGACGACGAAAAACCACGAAAATTCTTATTTACCATGATTACAGGGGCTGTGTTACAAGAAGGCCCTGGAACAGGGCATAGATCATGGGCAGTTGCCCATAAGCGAGTACTTCTGGCTCAACCACAGAAAAGTCTTGACAATTAATCAAGGTAGGCGGGTCTGGTTGTTGTTGCCTAGCAACATGCTTTGTTGCCAAGCAACACTCTTTATTGCCTAGCAACTGAGCTTTGTTGCTAAGCAACGTACTCCAAACGCGGTTTTGGCGCCAGAATTGAATTTCTTTCAGTTTTCGAAATATTGCTGCGTGTTAGCGAGGGTAAAACGTTCAAAGAGGCGTTCGAATTGATTTTGCCGAAGCGAATCGAGAAAATTTCAGCGATTCAGGACTCGGATGAGGAGGAAGAAGAGGAAAAAAATGCCACGACTTGTGATAATAAATGATAAAAGCTTGACTGTGTTTTAATATTTGGAATGGGATTATTTATTAAAATATTTGTTCTTCGTTGAAACATTTCAATTACGGCCGGAATGCTATTGTTTAATAAAACACACAAGGCAAGGATAAATACAAACATTTTCCTTTTGTGTGGTTTCTAAAAAATTAATTTTGCTAGATTTGGAGTTGTTTAAAATTCGTGTTGTTGCATAAACAGGTAAATGGAATTGGGATGATTTGAAAATGAAATATGGCGCCTCCGCCATTTTGTATTAAATTTTGTTATAATTTGATTGATTTGTCGATGTTTTTCTTTTTGATTTCTCTATTTGTGGAAGAAATAAAGTTGCTAAACTCGTTTTGAAACAAACTTAATTGATTTGGTCTATTTTGGGCCGAAGAGTTGGATTTAATTTAGTGATGGGTTATTCAAGCAATGAGTTAATCGCACAACAACTGTTAACAATTCCCTCGCTTGTATTCGATTCGATTAAATTACCTATTCGAAATTTTCCGGTATATCAGGAGTATCAAGGGATCTAATCAGATATAAAATTGGTATTCGGGCAATTTATGCGCAATCAGATAACTTTTCCCAAATTCCATTCTTACAATCGGGGTTTTTCCCCTAATTGAGCGAAATAGTTTCATATCTAGAGTGTTGTTCCCATTCTACGAGTTCTAGGAACTTCCAAAACATCGTTTTTTAAATTTTACTAGTAGTAAGGCCCCTTCAACACAAAACACTTTTAAGTAATTATAAAAAACATACAGGGTGCGCCAGAACTCGCGCCCCAGAGAAAAATGCCATATAAGGTAAGATACCAGGAACATGGAAAAAATGTTAAAAAAATTTTATCTATAAAAATTTCGAAGTTCTGAGGGTTTAAAGTTTGCACTTTGATTCTATTTATTTCTGTTGGAAACATAATTTTCCAAGTTTTTTTGCTATTAAAAGAGGAAACAAGGAAGCTGTATTCTAAATTGTGACTCTGTTTAATGTTATTTTTGGCTTTTATTGGCAAAATTTTTGTCCCTTTACTAAATAATTGTTAAAAAACATATACAAGATCATCAGTATCATTAAATGGATATAAAAAAATGTTAAATGTCAAAAAATATATGTCAAAATTTTACACACCCTGTATAATTACACATTACATTATATTGCTGCGAATTTAAGTTTACATTATCTCAATTTTTACGTTTGCGTTCTTACGTCCTAAGATTAAGATACATTATATTTCTCTATTTTTACAACTAAATTATAGAAAAGTATTTTTTTTTAAGTTTTGATTCTCACATTTTTATTTTCACGTTTTTTATTATTAGTTTTTACGTTTTTAGGACACAAAATAATTTTCCAAATTTTTACTGTTGCGTTTTTACGTTTTTTACGTTTACGATTACCATAGATAATGAGTTAACATTCTTATGTTTGCGTTCTTACGCTTTAAATATTGCGTTTTATTTTAAAACTTTCTATTCTTAAGTTTTTTGTGCAATACACATTTTTTTTACTTTTACATTTTTTACGTTTGCGGTTGCTAAATACTTTCTTGTTCTTTCTTACGTTTGCGTTTTACGCTCTAAAATTTGCGTATTTTGAAACACCTTACAATTTTTTAATTCTTAGATCCTTAAGTTTTTACGATCTTACGGTTTTGTGTTTTTTCTACGACTCACAAAACATTGCTACTTAAGTTTACAATTTTACGGTTGCGTTTTAAAAGTCCTTATTCTTATGTTATTTATGTTTACGATTTTCGGAAACGTACAAAAAGTATTCATTTTTCTTTAGTTGTTTTACGTTTTTCTGTTTCTATGTTCTTAGGACACAAATAAATAATTCTCTAAATTCTCGTTTACACTTTAATGGTTGCGTCTTTACGTTTTTTACGTTAACGATTAGCAGATACTAACACGGGTTAACATTTTTATGTTTTAGTATTATGTTTGCGTCTTCAAGTCTTCAATTTTGCGTTTTATTTTTATTTTTTAATTTTCATATTTGAAACTGTATAAAATCAAACAAAAGTTCGAAGAAATACAAAATTTAATAGAAACTTGTAAGACATTCAAGAAAGTAATAAAAATAAAATTGAAATAAAACAGAAATTTTAAATGAAAAAAAAAAACAAAAAACTAAAATTAAAATTGACCCATTCATTCTTAAAGAAATAATAAAG